TTGTTGTGTGGTAATCAAAGCTTACTTATGTTGTTTTACTGTAAATAGTTAAACGCTTATAAATATACACAATCAGAGATTGGAACTTTTTGTTGACCTTGTTTTGAGATGGGTCTTTGTTTTTGTACTTTGTAATTTATTTTTTGTAGCACTCCACGTTGTACGCCATGTTGAGTATGTTCAGAAGAATATAAAGCCATATAAATAATAAATATTTGATATACTGTACATTTTTTATATTCGTAATTCATTTTACACATAATTTTACATTATTTTTGGGAGTAAATTAATTTAAGCAACAAAAAAACTGAGGAGCCATTTGGGAGCCGAAAGAGCCGGCTCTTTTTAGTGAGCCGAGCCAAAAGAACCGGCTCTCTAAAAAGAGCCGGAATTCCCATCACTAGAGCCAACATCTCGTGACAGTGCAGTGTATTATTTTTTTGCCTCGGGGACGTACTTCACAAGTAACCAATTAAAATCCCTCAACGTTCCTCAATTGGCCAATAGAAAGTCAGAATTGGGGGAAAGAGGCGGGGCTTGTTCTGAGACTCTCCGCTTCGTAGCTACCAGGTGGAGAAGAGTAAACCTTCGTGGGGAAGATGGCGAGAGGAGCACGAAGTTTGCGAAAAATCGCCGCTTATGTGAAGACGTTACCGTCCGTGACCACCCGTGACGTTCGCTCCAGCAGCAATGTCAGGTAAACGTGTGTTTTTGGAAGACGTACAGCTTAACCGGTTGGAACTGTCTGCAAGCGAGTTGGACTGCGAACGAAACACTGGCGTTTCTCTGGTTGAAAGGATTTTGTCATCTGTAAAAATGTACCCAAACTTTGCTGAGGTTTTAGTGGGTTTCTATCCAATTTTTTGCATTACTTTGGGTGGTAATTTTGTTGTGTGAATTGTAAACGTTAATAAATTCCACAGTGTGTGGACTAAGTCCAGAAAACACACTGATACTTTTGCCATCTGAAACTTAGCTTTACGCCATTTCCACGATGGATTTCAACTTCGTATCGTGTCAGTGATGTTGGACAGTTTAATCAAAGGCGAGATCCTGCATAGAAAATCGGTTGTCACGATCTCAGAAAATGTCACGGGGTGGACATATTTGCACAATATCTAGTGGTTGCTGTAAGTGGTTATGTCGCGTTGTAATTGTCAAGTACAGTAATGACTTAATTTAGCGCTCTACAGAAGGGCAATTATTAGTTGCTTCATAGTTTAATACCGCACAATCATACCATGTCATCGACAGGGTACCAGGGGTTCCGAAACACAAGGTCGCGGATCAGTATTGGGCCACTTGGTCCCAGGCGTTCATTCTGTAGAAAGTTATGATATTTGTGCGAAAGAATAGTAACATAGTCCACAATCCCATGGGGTCGACCATACTGTCGGTCAGCTATGCCTTTTCTGTGCAAATGCCAGTACTAAATTTTAGTTTATACATAAAGTTTTTGGTGGGGTGTCACAGTCTGTAGCGATGGACAAGTGCACGGAGGCTTTGGACAGACAGGCGAGTGCGCGGTATGACAACAAATTGCGTTTGATAGTTGATTTCGATCTGCATAAACTTCAACAGAGAGGCTGGGTTGCTGACCCAAAAGTACTGCCCAGCATGACTTATATTGACCTTGTCAATTTTCTCATTTTCCACCAAAACCCTTTTTGTGAACTGAAGGGCCTTGAGAATGATAAACGTTTGGAGGCATACTCCATACTCTGCTTAAAAATAACAGCATAGACCAGCATGGTTTTATTTTGTTTTCGTGGTGGTCTAACCAGCTACTAGCGGTGCAGTTGAGGGAGGTTGAAGAAAGACTGGCTGACTCCAACATAAAGTGCATGACAGTCATCCAGCCGAGTTGTAACAAAGGCATGGATTAGTGTTTGTAAGTGCTGGTAGAAAGGAGAGGCTTTACCATAGCTGCCTAAAATGAAATACGATGGATTGAACAACACTGATTTGCCTGTTGAATTTAAAATAACTGTCCAATTTAAAAGTCAAGTTCAAGACGTTTGGGTTTAGCTAAAACGCCACTGAGACGAAAAACCATAATTTTTTTTTTTTCCCAAAAAATCCACTGCCCATCCAGGCTTTGATTTCCTCTAGACCGGACAAAAGTGGCCTTAAGGAGAAAGCATACTTTTTGCTTAGCAGGACATAGTTTTGACTCTCATCCGCATGGCAGATTTTGCATAACATGTTTTTGCAGGGGCATCAAATGCAATTAAAAACAGTAGAGGCACCAAAATAAAACCCTGTGGAACACCAAAGAGCGGCGGGGCAGAGCAGGACTCGGAGCAACCAAGGCTCACACTAAAACTCCTGCCTGCCAAAAGGAGCTAAACCACTCTAGAGTGCTACCACTCATGCACACCTGATGCTGTAAATGCGCCATAAGTCTATTGGTGGTATGAAGCTCGTCAGTTAAAAAAAAGCTGCAGGATTCAGTGTTGGACTAAAAGTAGCGTGCTATAGTTCAGAAAGTATGATAATTCATATTGTGTTCAGTGAAAGTTTTGTTGTTGCATGTTAATCCCAAACGGAATCTTTATGTTAATTTATTGATGTCAAATGTTGAGTATTTAAAATTATTCATTAAAATGTGTATGATAGGTTGTGTTTGTAGTGCCACATGCACGAAGCTTTGAATAATGTTTGCATTTTCTTTTATTTGAAGGGACAAAAAAAATAGGGCATTTTATTTTTAAGTCATATCGCCTGGCCCAAGCGTTTCGGGGAGATTCTTGGAAAAGGAGAACAGGCCAAATAATGTAGCGGGTGGGAGCACTGAGAAAAATTTACCCCGGGATTGGACTGGCAAAACAAGCGAAGGGCTCCCAACATTTACAACAGCTACATTCAGCCTAATGGTAAGTTGTGTATGTAATCTTGTGTTTTTATTTGTTTATATGCCATCCCATCCAAATACTGTGTCTTTACGCGAAACGATTCCGTGGGTGTTAGGTATCGAATTGTCTTTTATGAGCAAGGTAGACTAGCTATAAATCGGTTAAGCGTTGCCGATGATTTGTTTTTTCTTTGAATTTAATTACTGTCGTTTGGAAAGTTTGGAAAGTTGTTGAAATTTTGTCGAAGGATATGAATGTATGCCAGTTTTATTTTGTCATTGAATTCAAGTGAGTTCAGACTTAAAGGAAGCGTTTTCGCCTCGCCAGCTGACAGTGGTGAGTGAGACAAGGCCGGGATGGAATGCAAAGTAGTCTCCAGTGACGCAAAACTTAAGGCGAGAAATTGTTTGGATGCGTTACACCAAATGTCAGTAAATGTCCCCAACAGGTTTACACAGCAATGGCTCCCACACTACCGCAAACACTACTCGGAGCTTGTGGTATGATGTGTTAATTTCACTACTGTGCACTTCTGTTTTTTTTTTCCCCCACTACATTGATGGCCTTCTTCTATTCTGAGGTTGCACTTGCATTGACCGTCGGAGTCGGTCACACGGCGAGTGGATCAGGTTTCAACCCGTCAGGAATGGGCGAGTCCCTCAATCTGATTTGCACAGAGCCAATTTTTATTTATTTTTTTTGTTCAATGACACCTATTGGTAACTTCTCATTGATGACGTGTCGAGACAGGTTTTACGACTCGTGGAAGAGCATGATCTTTTTATCATTCACATAACTGAACAGAAATAATAATTGCATTGACATCCTTAACGCTCTAATAGTGTTGGCGTCCCTGACCTTTTTTACCTGCAATGCTGTCACATGCTTTGGTGAATGACAGCATGACAGCTTCCACATAGCACCTCTCAATCCATAGCAGCGAGTTTGGGATAGCAGCTATAAATCCATTAATACATTTTTGTATTTTTGGCGTTCATGTGGAATTTTGGTTGCCTTTATTGACAAGTTTATGATGAGATGGCCAAAAGATGTTGCCCTAACGGGCCACAGCAGACTTTGATTTAAGTCAAATAAGGGTACGTTGACACAGGGGTGATCTCTTACTTTTATTTATTTTTTTCCCCACGTATAAACAGCAACATTTTTGAAATGGTTGCCACACACAGGAAACTACGGGGCAGCCACAGTGACACGGTTTTAAAATCTGTTTTTATTAAAAACAGTCCTGTGTAAAAGGACAAACCGCCTTCACAAGAAAGACTGGAGAGTTTAGTTTGGGACCGATTGTAATTGTCATAATATTTTACATCACTGTTGGACAGCGAGTGTAGGAAGGATCGCACGTCAATATGTCTGCATTCCTTCAACTTTTGCACCTTGGGAGCGATTTGCCGAGCTGTCGGATTGATATTTGCCACTATACTGCTTTCACGTGTCACATTTCTCAACAAGAATCGATAGTCTACACATTGTTTGCCTTGACTTGTGTATTTGACTCCAGACTAGGTTTAACTCTCATCTCCGTGTTGTGCTGTCTTTTAGCTTCATTCTTTCACAGAGAACCTGCAGAATTGGCTCATCAGATTCATGACAGAAGACCCAGCATTTGTTCGTCTGAGCCTTTTCAACAGAATGCGGCAAAGGCACTATTTTATACCATATCCCACAATCAAATCATGATGTCAGCGCCGGTGGCAAATTTGACTTTTAAAATATATTTACTGTTACTTGTGTACAGCATTTGTTGACATACAGGTGCATCCCAAATCTGTTAGGGCTCTTAACACTACCTCTAAAGTCAAATCATTCGTATCACTGTGTGAAAATGGGCTACTGGAAATTCTAAATGCTTTTTATGCCTTTCATGCTGAGGAAGTGACAATTACATTTCTCGTCCATTAAGAAATGTCCTCTGCATGGCCATCCCTAAAGACATGTAAAGACTCCAAGGTGTCACTTTCCTGGTTTTATGTCAGTGCTTGAAGTGGGCCAAGGTGGCATTGTGTCTGCTGTGTGTGCAGCAGGTACCTCCCATCATATGGCATCCTGATGACGCGCCTGCCTCCCTTGCTGGGCACCGCCATGCCTGGCCGCAGCGTGGTCCTTCCCGCCCGCGCCTTCTTCAACATTGCCACCACTTTCTCCAAGAGAAGGGAATACGCTGAAAGACGCATCATTGGGTATGTAGAGCTAATCGGGTTTCACGCCCAGTGGGGATTTTCTTCAAGTGTTATTCACCTGTGGTCTTTCTAGTGACGTCTTTAGCTAATAGATTATACTGCTCAATTGTTAGGACCCAATTATTCCCGGCTTTTAACTCATTCAGTACCAGCCAATTCTGGACCAAGTCTGAAAAGACATTTAAAAACGTCTTTGGGAGTGAATGAGTTAACTGGTTTGCTACGACTACAAGCCTTGGTAGAAATCCTAAGTTAAGATAAATGAGACAATCCGGAAAGTTTGGTCTGGTACCCACACGCTTCTTACTTTTTTTCTCTCGCTGTCTCTCTTCCTTTGCCCTATTCTTTTTTGTGGGGGGCGGGGGGTGCAGGGGGAGATTTGATGTATTAAGTGGTTGTATTACTTGAATTTGTGTGCATACAAGAAGTCATTTTGTCCTTTATCACAAGCACCATGCACTGTGTCACGCTTGCAGTTACATAATAATGACAAATATATATTTGAAGGGGGCGAGGCAGTGTCGCAGTCTAGCATTTCAGTCCTACGGTTCAAATCTTGTGTGTGTCTGTGTGGCTCTTACATAATTTGAAATCCAAGGCAGTGCTGTTACCACCATTGTGGCACAACACTCAAATTAACATTTTCCCTTTGACTTCACTTCTATTTAGAATAATTTGTTCCAGTTCCAGCTGTCTCCATCATGAAACATTTATTTACTGTACATGTATTTTTTAAGTTCCCATTCAACTGCCGTTAACCTGTCTAATATTAATATATGTGAAAAATGATCAAATATTTAAAAGGTCTCTTTTTACTCATTCTCTGATGTGTATTTTAATATTTGTCAACTAAAATACAGCCACTTTCTACCACTAATGTATGTAGGCCAATTTGTCAAGGCTATTTTCAATGGCCAGGGATGGAAGTGGATCTTGTCCAGCTTGTCAGTGAAATTCTGGTTTGTAAGCCATACCACCATGACCTCACTTTACCTTTTGAGATCAATGCAGCTTTTGAGTTGATGATAATAAAGACATGGGCGTGAATCTCGTCTCGTTGATTATGAGGGAAAGAAATGCCATAATGTTGGCAGTCAGACAAGTTGAGGCACCTGACGCCCAGGCAGAGTATGTATGATATAAAAAGAGTACGCGTCATGGTAGTTCGTAGAAAGCGAGGTACAGTATTGTGATTGCGGAGTGAATGGCAACAAAAGCCGTGTAAAGAAGCCACACTTGAGTTGTGCAGTGAGTCGGTGTCATTCACTGTGTTTCTTTGCTGCATTTTAAAAAAACAAAAAACCTGTCGGTTGTTTTTGTTGTTTTTACTGTATTTTCACACAACACACTTGAAAGTTAAGTCAGAATGCTCTAAAACAGCTGACAATATTGGTCACAGCTATGAAAATGACTTACAGCGAATTAATGACGAATGAAGAGGAGTAAGAAATCTTTAAGAAATCGTCACACAAGTATAAAAGGAAGTCAATTCCCAATTTAATGTTCATTTAAACATAAACATTTGTATTGTTTTGTGCGCAGGTTTTCCATGCAAGAGATGTACGAGGTGGTGGCCGATGTGGAGAATTACCGCCTCTTTGTTCCTTGGTGCAAGAAGTCCGACGTCATCTTTAAGCGGACCGGGTACTGCAAGGCCAAACTCACTGTGGGCTTCCCGCCAGTGACTGAAAACTACACCTCTCTCGTCACTACAGTGCGCCCCCACCTGGTCAAGGTGCGCTACTTTATTTCTAAGTTTAGCATATCTGCACAATCTAAGGCAGCGATTTCTATACCGTATTCAAGTGCACCGTTTTATTCAAAGTGTCCATAATATTACAGTGATGTACAACATGAAATGTATTATGCTATTGTATTTTAACATTGGTCATGGTGATGGAAGTTTTTTTTTCAGTGCCACTTGGTGTAAAGACTTTTGGTGTAATTTTTTTTTTTTAATCAGCGCTACTGGATGGCCACTGGGACCATGCATTATCTAATCAGATGAATGACAAAAATGCAATTCTAAATATATAATACAATACAATACATCCTGAATCATATGGCGCTTTCACAACAGCTGCTGCTGTAACAAAGCGCTTTTACAAAACAGTTATAAAAGACCTGGTGGAAGGCGCACATAAGCCATGTCTGCCATCTACCATAAAACTATACAGTTGAACTGCATTGGATTTTTTTTCTCTTTTCTAAACCCCAAAATCTCCTCAAAAAAATCACTTATAAATCTCCAGTATAGATTTTCCACAAAAAAACTACGTTTACGCTCCCTTAACCCTTTCCCACGAAAAATCAGTCAAAAAACTAAAACACACCTTTGCGTTGTTTATGAGTCAAAAACAAGTCGATTGCTTTAAATTCTCTTTATATTTTTTATACAGTATTTTCCAATACCATGTCACTTCTTTTTATTAAAAGCATGGAACAAAATATTTTTGTTTTGAGGGTGGAACAGATTAATGCTATTTTACTTCCTTTCAAAGAGGAAATCGATTTGATATACAGATAGATTGAGTTATGATCTTGGTCATGGAACAAATTTAACTCATAACTTTAGAGGTAGCACTGAACCAGGGACTAACTGACAAAATGAAACTGTCCCAATTCTGCCGCCTGTCAGGCATCCTGCTCGGACGGCAAACTGTTTAACCACCTAGAGACGATTTGGCGCTTCAGCCCTGGCCTACCTGGCTACCCTCGCACCTGCACTGTGGACTTTGACGTAAGTACATTTTGAAATGAACATCAACAAGATGCCTGCACGATGCAGTTTGACATCCGATTTTGGCTATGAGACGTGTGCGGTAAATGCACGTTTGTGATCGTACTTAAAAAAAAAATAAAAATAGGTGCCACCTCTATCCTGAGCGTGAATGGTTGTTTGAGGACAAGCACTGTAGAAAATAAATGGATGGTTAGAGATCCACACATAATGCATTTGGTATAATTGTTCCTTTTAAACCTAATTGTTTATATATATATA